TGTCTTGAAATACACCAATCTCTGAAAGAAATATATAATTAAGAAATAAATGATATTATCAATCTTTTCTATATATTGTTTATATCTTTTTTGTACCTGTTATTATTGAGATAATCATACCACGATTTTTCATAAGTATTAGGTATTATTTTTAAATGTCCCTGTTCCACAGCTTGTAGTGCCTTCTGAGCCATACTTTCACATTTAATAAACCATTGTTCTTTGAGTAAGTATTCTATGACATCATGAGAACGTGAACACAATGGCACGTACATTTCGTGATCGCTAATACTTTTTAGAATACCTTTATTTGACAATTCGTTTAAAACTTTCTCTCGAGCAATAAATCTTGGCAAACCCTAAAATTTATAATAAAAAAGTTACAATAAAGAAATTTACTATATTGAAACGAAGTTCGTAAAAAATGCAATTATTTAAATAAAAAATAAATATACTTTAAATTGTTTGCCTATTCCTGTTATATTTCCATATTCATCAATAACTTCAATAATTTCTAATTGATGATTTATTGCAATCTGGTAATCTAAAGGATCATGCGCTGGTGTTATTTTTACTGCACCTAAAAGAATTATTTTTATAACAATGTGCTATTCAGACTAATAAACGTTTGAAATAATTAAAATGTAATTACCTGTGCCATATTGTCTATCAACTAAAGGATCAGAAATAACAGGAATGTATGTTTCCCTTAAAGTATGCCAAACTTGATGCCCAATATATTTTGTGTACCTTTCATCATCTGGATGAACAGCAATTGCTACATCTCCAAAAAGAGTCTCTGGTCTAGTAGTTGCTACTACTATCTCATGTTCTAAGAAAACAAAAATTGAAACAAATTTTCTTACAAATGGATTACATACAATATAGTAGTATTATATTTGAATAATTATACTTGAATCTTTCACTGGATAAGCTATATATGCTATTTCACCAAATGTAATCATTTTCTTGTATCCTGGAACTTTGAGCTGTGTCTTTTTAGTAATGTATAAACGTTCTACCTCAATATCCGATATTGTACTATGTAGAGTAGGAGACCAATTTACCAAATCTTTCTTCCTATATAATAAATTTCGATTGTTCAATATGACAAGTGCTTCCATCACAGCAACATTATGATCCTGAAATTTCAAATATAAAAGAATACTTTGCTTGTTTAACACTTCAGATACCTTTTATGGAAAAATTCCTATTATACCTTACTCATTGTAAAGTATTCTTTAGACCAATCTAAACTAGCACCCAAAGCTTCTAATTGAGATTTTATATTATTTTGTTTTTCATTTTTCCACTGCCAAACAAATGACAGGAACTGTTCTTTTCCTACGTCTGACTTACTAATACCTTTTACTTTAAAAAGATATTTTTCTATCATCATTTGTGTTGCAATTCCAGCATGATCAAAACCTGGTATCCATATTACAGGATGTCCTTTCATTCTATACCTAAATGCAAATTACCTTCTGAATTGTTATTTGATTTAACATTTAAATAATTAATAACTTTTCTAAAGATACCATCTTGCTAATATATCTTGAATTGTAACAGTTAATGCATGTCCTAAATGCAATGTTCCAGTTATATTAGGAGGAGGTAAAAGCATTTTCAGTGCTGCTTTTTCATTATTTTTAATAGTAAAATGATTATTGTCTTTCCAAATCTGATACCATTCATGTTCAATTTTTTTACTATTAAAAGTTTTTGGAAAATCTAGAAAGAGGTATCATAATAATAAACTTTATATAGACACTACTTTTTTTTAACATTTTGGTGATCAAAAAATATAAATACCTGATAACTGTTGAGTAGAGAACCTATTGCAGCAATATTTATTATAGGACTTGAAGCGTAATGAAGTATTACATTGTATGACTTTCATTATATATTAAATATATTATATTTCTCCTTTTATTTTATGCGTTTAAAAAAACATAACCAATATTGTAACCAAAAAAATAAATAAATTATTCATTCACTGTAATCATAAATGTTAATGGTTGTCATTAGTTAGATATAATTGGATTTATGTTTATTACAGAATAAGATTTATTGTAAATTTTTATTTAAAATTCAGATATTTTTATGTTGTTTTGAATTAATAGCTTTATATTACGTTGGCTGCCCTTAATAGTTTTCAGTAATATGATACTGTTCATTAATTTCTTTTTAACAAATGAGCTATTATATTGTACTATTAAATAAATAATCCTTTTTTAAAAATAGAAAATTAACTAATTTTTAATTGTTGAAGCATTATATATTATGTACAAATAATTTTCTTTCTTATTATGTTTCTTCTACAAATTTTTATAAAAGATTTAAATTAAATTTAAATGTACTTATATACATGTTTCCTTAAAATAAAATTTTACTAATCGTATAAATGGTAAATATATGTATATTTATACAACCGTGACTTGTACTATATCAACTTTTGGCGTGAATGATAAAAAATAGTTTGTTAAATATTCATTTAACTATATCTTTTATTTCCTATTTAATTACTATAGTCATTCTTAATAATGAATTGTATGTAAATACACAGATAAAATAATAAATCATAAAATACAGAGAAAAGCATTTTTTATTTAACGTTAATTTAACAGAGTATTTGTAGTTCAAAATAACATAATATTACATCAGAGATTACATTGAATGCATAAAATTTCTTAATTCTTGATTAGATGCATTAAGTACAAATTTTGTAGCTATAATGAACATTTTATATAACAATGAAATATTTTTAAATAATAACTGGTTTCTATTGTTTATTCTGTTTTTATAGGATCTATATATTGTTATCTGAGTCGCTTATAAAAAAGTTGCAGAATGGAATACTGATATGATTATTCGAAAGTTCATGTCGATAAAAAAACTAAACTTGGGTGGCTCCCTCTGTCTTATAGTTTTAATCTTATCTCAATTCTTGTATCCTGTTTGCTTTCACTTTTATTTCATAACTGTAAGTCCAAAATCCAACTGAGGCGTATTGATTTAGCTGGTACTAGTTGTTACCAGCGGATATTAGTTGAGACTTAGCTAATATTTGCGTGTATCGTTCTGTGACACATTTGTTTATACTTCTAACATTTTCCTAAACAATGAACGTAAGTATTAATGGTATTATCGCTATATACATTAATATTAATTATAATTACGAATATAAATTCGTGTAGCATAAGAAATCATGCGGAATCCTTTCATTTCTAATAGTATTAACGCTTGTATTACGTACGATGTTGAATTGTTTTGCATACTTGTTATTTTGTACTAATGTTAATGTCATTGTTTATGACTAATAAAAACTGGACTTTGTTTAATTTCAAAAAGCTTATTATATTTTTTCATAAAATTTATTCTTTTCGAGATAATAGGCATTATCTTGAAAAGATGAAAAAATTAGATAATTAAAAAATGTGTTACAATAAACATTCCGTGTATTTCCTAAAATACAATAAAGATAATTAGTTTAAAAATGATTAGTTTTTGTTTGAATGAATATCTTATATTCATTAATTAATGTATTATACATATAATATTATATGGTAGAGAAAAATATTTATATGTAAGAAATAAGAAACTTTTATATATTTATAGTTATATGTATATATTTTAGGGATTAGTTGCTCTTGTAACTGGTGGTGCATCTGGATTGGGACTTGGTGTTGTACGAAGATTTATAAAAGAAGGTGCGAAAGTAGCTATTGCTGATTTACCAAGATCTAGAGGAAATGAAATTGCTGACGAACTTGGAGAGTCTGCTATCTTTACACCAATGGATGTATGTATGAAATAGGTATCATAAATATTATTATTGCTATTAATAGTAATAGTATTAAAAATTATATAAACAATCTTTAGAAATAAAATTTTCCAATTTGTATATTAATAGCGAAATATATTAAAGAGACATCAATTAAGGAAATCTAGAATTATACATATTAACATAATATATTTTTGCTTAGATTATAACATATTTATATTAGAACTAACAATTTCTTAGGAATGTAAAACTTTATAGTATTAATTGTATAATGCAATTAATAGTATTAGTAACCATTATGAATTGACATTGAATGTTATTAAATTACTTATTAATTAAATATTTGTTGTATATGATTTGATATTATAAATATATAACTTTTGCAAAAGAAATCTATACATTAATAGATAGTTTGCAACTTTGTTTTACAGGTGACATCACCAGATGATGTAAGTGCTGCTTTAGATACAATATGTGAGAAGTTCAACAGATTGGATGTCACAGTAAATGCAGCAGGAATAGCCTGCGCCCACAAAATATATAATGCTAATAAAGATATTCCACACTATATAGACACTTTTGAAAATGTGCTTAAAGTAAATGTTACTGGAACATTTAATGTTGTTAGATTATCTGTACAACTGATGTATAAGAATGAACCAGACAAAGATGGACAACGGGGAGTGGTAATTAACACAGCAAGCATTGCAGCATTTGATGGACAAATGGGTCAGGTAGCATATTCTGCGAGCAAAGGTGCGATTGTTGGTATGACTTTGCCACTAGCTCGTGACACAGCTAAGCTTGGTATTCGTGTTGTTACAATCGCACCTGGAGTATTTGATACACCATTGTTGGGAAGTTTACCAACGAAAGTACGTGCTTTTTTAATGAAAACAGTACCATTTCCAAACAGATTGGGTGATCCTGATGAATATGCTAAGCTTGCACAACATATTGTTGAAAATCATCTCTTAAATGGAGAAGTGATAAGATTAGATGGTGCTCTCAGAATGCAACCGTGAATACAATTTTTTATTTACTTATATTGTTTATATGAACATGGAACATGGATAAAGGATTTTCATAACATGGATGTCATAAATAAAAGTTACATAAAATCAGACAAAAATATATAAAAAATGAATAAAACCGTTAATTTTTTTACATGCAACACCATTATAATTCTCTTAGAATGTACACAAACAACTAAAAGTTTTCATCTATTATAGGTATCGACAATTTTCTTTATTACCTTATGACTGTACATTAATGTCTTGTAAATAGGTTGCAAAAGTCGCAACATCTTTCTTTAAATAGTTCACTAGAGTATCATCTAGCAAAAAAGTTGTGTACATAATATCAACATAAAAATCGTTTAGTTGTCCCGTTATTCATTAGTCTTTCTTTGCAATAACCTCTGGAGATTTCCAAAATTTCAGTAAATACTGGAATTTATTTTGATGATTTTTCGGAAGAGCCAGTTTATTTGATAAGGCAGGATAATCAGGATCTCCGAGGTCTAGTCATTCCTAGGCATTCGATTCTTTCAGATTTTGTAGCTTCTCTAGTTGGTCAGGTTGTAATTCGTCTGGAATACTTGCCCTTCCTCCTATTACCATTTTTTCTGGCACGATCTCAATATCTTCTGTTTCTTGTACTTCAATTACGGTACCACGAGATGGTATAGATTGAGAATTATCTGCTGTACTTGGCCCGGATGTTGAGTCCCCTTCACTACCAGAGCTGCTACTAATCGGAAATGGTGCTGAATCAGTTGGTAAGTCATCAACTGTTGATTTCTCTTCAATATCTTCGGTCGTTTCTGTAATTTCTTGTTCTTCTCTTTCATCCATTATTACAGTAGCTTCTTTGCAGTCACTTTCATTTACTTCGGTAGTAGTGCTTGAAGGTAAATCACCATCAGAACTTTCCGTCGATTTCACTGTGTCATCAGCGGTTTCTTCTAATTCCGGGAATGGATGTTCAATTTCTTCCATTGGTGTTGCCGCAGTAATTACAATTTGCGCAACCCCAAGTCCGAAATCGTCTTTAGACTGGTCAATGTTCAGCTGCTTTGTTTTCTCATCATCTACCTAAAAATAGAAAATACATAGTTAGATCTTGCCTAACAATCAATCATTAAATAAATGTTTTTGTACTACAATTTAATGATCTGCTTACCTTTGTTCCCGATTCATCCGATATTTCTACAACTAAGCAGCAGTTTTGTGCATATTGATATTTAAATTAAATAGAAACGCGATAAATAACAGTAATGATTTGAAACTTACCTACTATATCAGGCCCTTCGGATTTATCGCCTTCAAACTGCGAGCCATATTGACTTTTTTGGTCCTTTGAAAGATTTATTATGAAACCCTCTTGTCGATGCTGTTGTTCAACGTTTGCATTACTAGAGATTCCATCTTGTGATTCTATGCAATATAGCACAATATAACATCATATTAATATAATAATAGTATCATCTTTTTTACGATAATTTTTTTTAAGAAGATTTTTAGAAGAAGCTTGTTACCTTTCATCATACTTTGTGTTATTTCATTTTCTAATAAAAATTCTGGAACTTCGGGTGGTGTAAACACTGGTGGTGCAGAGCTCGGCGGTGTTATATTTTCCTAATGATAAAAGACGTAGAAGAGATTATTAAAAATAAATATATTAATAATTGAAAGGATCTTTGATCAATTAAAATTTAACCTGTGGAGTCAAAGGTGAACCGTCTGCAGCACAAGGTTCTACGATCAAAGATGGGAATAATCCTCGTTGTCCACGTAATTCTCCTTCCCACCATCCATCATCGACATCGTGTGGTTCTTTTCTTAAAACCTTTAAAATATCGCCTTCAAGGAAACTAAGTTCTTCATCGCATGTGGCATCGTAGTCATAAAGGGCAATACAATATTGTTCTACTTCTGAAAAATAGATCAATACCGGCATTTGATGCTGATAACGTTAATTATTATAAAACATATGTATTACATAAATTATTATGTGCCATAAGCTATACAATTAATATAATGTTTCGTATTTGAAAAAAATAAAAATTACTTAACACTGGAGATGTAAAGTAGACTTACCTCCTATATGATTTTGTACAATGGTTTCTGATGCTGGTAAATTAGCTTGTAGATTAGCATCTGGATCTACTGCATCATGATCATCGATTGTGTAATCTACCGAGGAGAAGGATATTTGTTGTACTAGACCTGGTCCTTGGGAAGTTAGACCGGATGTTGTATCCCTTTCAACATCGAGATAATTCTGGGGAACAAATCCTTCTTCGCCACGATAGTTTCGTGCTCGGAGCCAACCATCACCATCACCCTCACCAACTACTTCCAGTTGCTCACTTTCGACAATCGATAATTCGTCAGGGTTTTGCGCCTATAGAAAATGAATTTTAAGTAAAAGATACTTAAAAGAGTAAGGTATATATAAATATTTTCCTAGAAAAAATGGTCTCTCAAATATACAAATTTCTTGCTAAAACGTTAATTCTATTACAATAAGTAACTGTTTATAAAGTATATAGTGTTCACACCGTATACGAATAAAGCGCGGTACACTTGTATATTTGCTGCGTAGGAGGCATTTCAGATGTTTCACGAATCTCAGTTTGTTCTTCCTTTTCCTCGTTATCCCAATCTACAGTTGTCGGATCGTCCCAACCAACAGTAAGTTGTTCTATTCGTTGCTTCTCTTGCTCAAGTAAAGCTATCAATTGAGAATACAAATAATTTGATTTTGAATGGAATGTTCTGTTTTATATTATGATTTATGTCATATATTATTAATCCTTATATACCATCAACTTCTTCACTATCATGTCTTTGCCTTTCCTTAGTTGTTTCTTCTTCTTGTTGAGAAGCATTTCGTGCACTGCCCGGTCGTTCGACAGTCGTCAAGTCGCTTCCACCATCGCCATCGCTATCATAAAATGAATCTGAGGACGGATGTTCCTGTATAACATATACATGATTTTTTTACGACACTTTATACAATTTTTTATATAAGAAAAGATTGACTAGTTTTAAATTAAATATCAGTACCGCCGTTCCCGATGCATCAGTTCTAACAGAAAGAGAGCTAGCTGAACGTGGCATATCTTGGACACTCAAAGTTTCTGCTTCCTGTAGCCATTCATCAACATTTACTAAAAAAGATAACACATATAAAGCGATACAATTACTAATTGTTAAGTTACGATTTGTTATAACAATTGCATTCGAGTAAACAGAAAAATAAATATGTAACAAACCTCCACCATTTCGAAGGCATTCTATTCTTGCTTCTGCCTTTAGCTTTGCTGTCTAATGAACAAGTAAATAGGTAAAGAAGGGAATTGACGTGAATCACGTTTGACCACATATCTTACCTCTGCACGTCGTATCATATGTTTCAGTTCATCGATTTTCGTATCTAAATCTGGACCTTGTGGATCGTTTGGATCAGTCTATAATCATTGTTAAGTATAAGTATTAATAAATCAATTCCGGATATACAACATAAGAGAAATAATTTAATAGACTTCTGTAGCGACTAGTTGTGTTCTTTCGTTAACCTTTTGTCCAGACTCTTTTAGTTGTAGAAGAACTTGTAATTTTCTACTATTTTCTCGAGCGCTGCCTATTTCACGAGCTATTCTCGTCGACCAGCGTCGAGCTTCTTTTCCAAGTGTAGCTGCAGCAGAATGATCAGCCGTTATCCTGCAACAAATCTGTTTTCTAGAGTATCATAAAAATTAACGTTTCAAAGTATATCCATCTGATAAATCATTTATAAACCTCTCTATCGGATCGTTGTCACAAGCTTCAAATTCATATTGTATATGTTGCTTTAAAACAGGATAATACAAACAGCAGCACTGTATATTGTACTCTCTGGTGAGCTGTAAAAGATAAGAAATGAACGAAACAGTTTACATTAATTTATAATATTAAAAATATAATATAATAATATATTTACATTAATTTATATTATCTATGTTATTCATATTAATTTCTAAGGTAATTTTTCTAAAATTTTTGTGCTCACTTGTTGCGCTTGATCACGAATTTTGCCATAACTATTTTGCGTAGCTAAGCAGGTCAAAAGTTCTGTACGACCCATTAGCGTTAAATATTCCGCAACTTTATCGTAAACATCTTGCTCTAAATACTGTTAACAGAGGAAAAAGGCTTTTTTATTTATTTTAAATGAAAGAAAGAGTTTACATATACATATATATATGTACATCGTAATAAAAGTGACTTACTTGCATAGTGCTTTGTAAGTCGACCACAAAATATCTATTTTGATGTGCATTGGCAGCGGCGAGGCTAAGTAAATAATCATTTCGAGCTCCTGTTGATTTCTCTTCTAAAGCATCGCGTTTCGAGCTCACCTGGAAATAGTCATTTTTTGTTTAAAGTATCCGAATTATTACAAATTATTTAATATCTCTCATAACATTTCTCTACCTTTGCACTATTTTTCTGCAATGACGTTATCGATTGAAAGAAGGATCCCTTCTTTTTCTTTAGTCTGTAATTAATCAGTACCAGGTTTTAAGTCTTCAATTCATTGCAAAACTTGGACTGTCTACTAATCAAATCTGTGTAAACACATACTTCTCTTCGATATCTTTTGCTTTATCGCGTACATCATGGGCACTATGCTCTTCATCGAAGTACAATTTCTTTGTTTTGTCTACATCTTGTACACACAATTGTAACTCTTTTTGTACTATCATTAATTGGTCGATTGCCTTCTTAGAGATTTGTAGTTTATGCATCTTTAAACTCTTTGCATCGTCAGCAATTTGTTGTTGAAAAACTTCTACAGCAGCTAGTCGCGCTTTAGCCAATTTTTCGTTTTCTTCTAAGACTGTTCGCCAAACGTTCCACATATTCCTGAAATTAACAATTATTTAAATTCAACCGAATTGTTTCAAGATGTGGAAAAACATCACAACATATTTTAACTTTCTTCGACTGGGAGGAGGGACGGGGATAATTTCGGCTAAGATAATTTTAATACATTCTGTATAATATTAAAGTGTACCATTTTTCTTCACCACCTTCCACTTTCAAATCCGGAATGTTTGGTATCTTTTTATTCAAATATGCTGAGGATATTTTAAGAAGTGCCTGAAATGATCATTGGTCAGTAACAACGTAAACTTGATAACGTGGACTTCGCAAATACAGTTTTCGCTACGAAAAATGATATTTCTCTTACCTCCGAGTATGATTTTTCAATCGCAGACTTTTTTATTGTAAAGTTGCTGAAAAATATATTTGCACTGTGAATGAATGCTTTTAAATAAAAGATTTATTTGCAAATACAAAATTATAAAATGAGATGCATGTTAAGACACACTACGCTACAGAAAAGTTGTAGAGCAAAAATACATATGTAATAAATATCAAGGGGCGTTAACTCATTTGTAATACGAGTGGAATAAGATAAAATTTATTGAAGGTAAAAGCGTAACGTCAAAAAAAAAAATTGAGATCGGTGATATAAAATGACCTGAGCTTAGGTTGTTTAAAGAGCTTTTATCTAATCCTCCTTTACATAAGTTTTAGACTTACCGTATATCTTCCAGAAGGTCGCATTCATGCTGGTTTTTCGCTTGTAATTTTGCCGCTTGCTCTGCGTGTACATTCTTAAGAAATTTCGTGTAATTTCCCTGCAAATGCTCACATTGTCAATCTGTATTTTTTTATTGTTTCTATCATTAGATCTAATTAATATCATATATGTAATGTCATATGAGTAATAAAATGTAACGTTATAACGCGATCCGATTTAACAGTTAATAAACACAATCACGTCGATATTTCTGTAGTAATATCCCGATTTTGTTACGAGCAGATCTTTGTAATAAATGGAGGCGTATCCTTTGGTTCTTTGCCAGAATGTCGCGCCGAAAAATTGACTTGGCAACGATAACATTAACGAATACTATACATAGGAGGATAGTGAATATACGCTTTAAGAAAAATATATAGCTCGATTGTTCGTACATTTTTGTATGTTGCTACAAGTATTGATAGAGTTATCCATGTACAAAATTTTACAGGCTTCGACTATTGGATCTGTTTAATACTGGTAAAGTTAAGTATTCAATAAAAATAAGATAGTTCGTATACCTCAAATTTTCCTTTATAGTTTCAATCGAGTGTGTTTCAAACAAAGCACATAGCTTCGGATACAAAAAAAAACAAAGATAAAATAAATATTTCTGTCCTTTTCTCATACATTGGCGAGGTACTAATTGGCTGGTAGGCAAACGTGTAGGATTAATGAATTAATTAGTGTTAAGATTGCTATAAATTAAGTTCAATTTTGTTGTATATCGATATCTTCTTTAAGTGCCGTCATTCATATTGACTTAATGAACTCTGATAAACAATCTTCAATATCCAGGGGCAACGAAGCTTCCTTTAGACATTGGAATTTTATTGATTTTCTTATCGATCCTACCAGTATTTTAAAAATATATCAAGCTCATAGTCTATGGACAAATATATATGTGTGTAAGTGTACTACTAATATCACGCATTGTTACGCAGATCGTTAAATGATAAAACCTACTTCATCATGTTCGAGTACAATGCAAATTTTCAAGTCTTTTTTCGCTCCAGCGATTCGACAAACACGTTAATGGAAATATCAAGTAACGACAGGACAGAGCTTCCCGCTTTGTTTCAATCCGTTTGCATCCAAAGTATAAAGGGTGTATAAAGGAGAATTTTCAATAAGTCCGTCAATTTGTCACTTTTTACATGCAAGTAAATTACCGTGTCTTTTCTAAGAACGGAATTTTATCTAATATTACTTGGGAACAATAGTTCCTTCTAATTCAGCTTACTTCCTGTGAGACAGAAAGGTCAGATTTTAACCCGTCTAGGATGTACTTGACGGGATACGATAATAATGAGACGGGAATGAATTCTAAACTGCATCCGTGGGTCGTCAGAAAATCGTAATCGCGACTCCTAATAGGGCGATTTATTGTTAGAAAAGATATCTTCTCGATCGAGCGACTCGGTGAACATTCTTGAAACGGAGGAGAGAAAAACGGAAAGAATTGCTCGAAGTTGTGTAAAATTATGCTGCTTCGATCTCATAAATAATTAGTGTAGTTAAAATTTTAAAATAGGAAGCTTGCTCTCCGAGCATTAGCTCTATTCTCGTCAAAGGAAAATTGTCGAGTGCAAAGAAGTGGGTAAACATAAAATTGTGCGGAAGACGCGAAGAGAAATTTCCGGTGCGAAAAGCAAATAGAGAGGAGCATTCGTAGCGAGCTGCACCAAATTTCGCCGAAAGGAAGTATACTTTTCAAACAGTCTTAGGCGTAAAACACGCATTCCCTTCTTGCGAATCACTCTGGATTCTTATCATTTGACTGGCTTTCGGTAGGTGGAAGTGGGTCAGGAATCTCCCGATCTTTAACTACGAAACTTCATTGTCACGAAGCGAAGCGAAAGCCCGATTCGCTACCTTGATAAATAGATCGGAGAATCCTATTGTCTTTAAAGAAATAGAGTTAACTAAATAACGAGAAGACTTTCGACTATTTTCTCATCGATGTCCAATTAATTAATAGACAAATCATAAAACTACGCAACGTCTGCCCTGGACATTTTATTATTCTGCGAACAACACATTAGTCTTGTTTGAGGGCGTGGAAAGATTGCAAGTGCATATTAAATCACTAGCTGTAACTACAATAAAAGAGTACTTTGCCATTCGTTATCTATCGATTCCTCGAGTCATTATTGCACTAAACATTTCATAGTAAAAGGCAGTTACGAACGAAAAGTTAAACGTTTTTCTTTTCTTTTTTTTTTTTGAACACCACACTGTCCCTTGCTTAATCTTAATTCGTGGTAAACTTTAAATTTGGTAAGGCGAAATAAATTTTGCGAAAAGTTTCTCGAGAAGAAACATGGCCTCCTAAAAATCGTCCTACATTCAAAATTCGGGATCGATTTCGGCGAGAACATAGTGTACTGTTATATAATAAAGGAGACAGACGGAAATTTCAGGGACAAGGAGATTTAGATCTGCGCAAGAGGATGATAATGGTAGCAGTGTGAAAGCAAGGAATTTGAAGGAGGGTAGAAGTCATTATCGGTAGGATGCACGTTCGTTTCGATCTGAGAAGATATTAACCTGGGTCTTTGGCCCGTTCTATACATTTTGAGGTCAGCTTTTGATATAGATTCGTGGAGAAGACCGAAGTGCGCATCGATTTTCCTATCGTGGCAACGTTCGAACGCCGTTTACGTCAATTTTTTCGTAAAATATCGCTAAAGATCGATACGCGGTCAAATTCATGCATTTCGATCGTATCGAGAACTGTTACCTTCCTTCGATACATATGACACTTTAGAAATGAACCCTACTTTTACGATATCACGCTGGATCATTCTAACTTGTTTAACGACAGGAAATAGATTTGTTAATTCTCGGAGAAATACCAGCAAATGCATTGCGATACAATTGCACGAAATAAAATCTGATGTAAGGAGGGTGCAAGAGAAAAAAGATCGTACGGAGTTGATAGAAGAAAATTGGACAGCGAAGATGTCAAGCTTGTCGGCTTACTTTTCTCGGTGGTGGTTGCATGCTGGACGAGCGGCCTGCTCTGCAGCCTCACCGCTGGCAGCCCGTTTTACACCGTCCGCCGGGGAGGGGTGCTTGTTGTTTTCGTACGCCTCACCCGACACAATATTACCACGCGCTACCACCCTCACTGCTTGCGTGTTCGTACGCTACTGATCTCCTGTCCTCGACTGAGTTAGCCTATTTATTGATCGCATACGCGCCTGCGTTCTCTCGATCTACATCTTCGGCATTTCTCATTCTCCTTTTTCCGACTTTTCCCGATGTGTCCGATCTCGCACGATACTTTGAGGCGTCATCTTCTTCTATGTGAATTTCCGTGTGTTTTATCGACTGACATCAACCGAAATTCCCCCCTTTTCGACATATTCGTTTTACTACATATTTCAATATCTTGTTCGAATTTTTCAATTATTTAATCCGTGAAAATGCAAAGGCGCTATACATGAAATGCTCAATAAACAGTGGTCAAAAATAAACTTCTCTCATTTAGGCTATAATGTCTTTAGTCTTGTTATTACGTTGTTCGAAGCGCTTGAGTTAACTTTATTTTGCATAATTTCACACCATGGGAAAGATTTGTAAAAATACATATTGAAATAACATGGAAAAACAAAGAACCACAGTCTCGGAAACAGTATTCAACTTTATTAATTGTATAAAACGGAAATACTCTTCGCAAATCCATACCTAATGAATCATTATGTATTTCGTATTTGACATGTAATTATGAGAAACGTTTAACATTACATACAAAATTGAAAAAGTCACAGCGGACATTTTTAAACTAGTTTAACATCCACAAGATGCGATAACTTCACTATACATCATTTTGACTGAGTCAAAATCAGACTTGCTCAATCCACAAGAAATACATATGTCTTACATATTTTATCCGAAGCGTAATCATATTCAAGCAGTTTTACTCGTCTGCTATTATCTTATAAAAATATGGAAAACACGACGAAATTCATTCTTCGGAAACCAATAATTTAAAGCTTAACTTTTTAAGCAAGCGAATATTGTGAGGTAAGCAAGTCTGACCAGGTTTAAAAATTGACGCAAGAAGAAAGCAGTCCATAAATACTTGGTAATCGAAGTTCATGTCTGTTTGTTCTAACTTCTACAATCGACATTCATGGTAACTCGTCAGGCGGTATAGATCCAAGATCTTGATCAGCTGGTAAACCTATGGCACCCTCAACGTCGGCATCCGAACCGACTGGTAATACGACTTCTGGTTGAGGCGCTGGTTCAGCTTGCAAAAGAGCGATTGCTATCGGATTTCCACCAGCATCTAATACCGGATCGGCAGTTGCTTCCGCAAGATTTGTCACAGACTTTGATTTCACGCACTGAAAATCGACGTGTCGACTTTTCGCTTCCTCTTTCTCCCAGGACATGTGAATAAATGGTCTTTGCACGTAATTATAAATCACTTCAGCACGTCCACCTGCTCTCTTCTTAATTTTTTCTTTATAAGTAGGATATCCTTCGATGCCTAAGCGAATCTTTTTTAAACCGCGTTCCTTCATTACTTGCTTAGCTACATCTCTGTTTTCAATGTATTTGAAGAACCGATACATCGCAGTACTGTTAACAGCTGTTGGAAAATGAAAGACACTCTATTAATATTATGCTTTCTTTAATGTGAAATAAATCACAAACTTCTTATTGAAGGCAATGAATTTTAATACAGCCAATAAAATGTTCAAGCCTACGACCGATATGATTATCGATTTTCTATTTTATACATCCAATATACCGTAGCAAGGTCATATATTTTGAATCTTGATATTGTAAAAAAAGGCGGAAGTAAAAAGCAGTATCCTTTGCTTACTTACTTTGTGAATATTCTTCTCCCATTTGCGGTGGATATTCTTCATCCCAATCAACGATATCATCTTCCAATAAAACAACGATATGACATTCGCGATCGCCTCTACGTGCGCTGTTTACCATTAGCGGCAGTATTAAATCTTCTAGAAACACTTCAAACTGGCATCGTGCACCTTCGTTAGACAATTCATGTAATAGTCCTCCTATGAAATAAATCACCTTATTTTTAGAATTTCTATTATTTATTATCGATAAGCATTGTGCTTTTTAATAGTTATGAGTTATCATGACCTATTATTTGTGAAACGAGTCAATAATTTTATATAGTAACAAATGATCCTGATTAAAAAATTTAGAAAAATTAGAGGACGTTTTGTTACGCAACATTAACATAATAAATATGTCGGAGTCAGATTGGCATTTTGGGGCGTTCGATGAACCTTTACTTACTTTACCGTCGCGAATGTAGCCAATCTCTATCAGTACGAATGTGGACACTGCCAGACGCTACGAGTAATGGTAATAGGATGGTCGAGATGATGGTGACAACGAATTCAGGTTCGATAACGAATCCACGGTCCACGGGAGGGTTAGTATCAACGTGCTACTCGCTTCACTAACTAACTGACTCTAACTCTCGCTCTAACTCTGTCAATCCAAAAGAGGCTGCCCTTATATACTCCTGTCCCCGCTTCTCGGGTTAATCTTTCTCTTAAGGAGAGCCATATAATCATTTCATACCTCTGTCAGGTACATGTCCCTCCCATGTCCGTGGCTACGTCCGGTGACCTGCCATGTCACTTCGAGCCCAAACCCATCGTCATAAAGTCCGATTGGAACATTAAGACTATTTCTTATTTTTATTACTTAAGGGCAGCTATAGTAAAAGTCTGGACTAGTGTATTGGGGGTTTCCCCAACATTCCGGACGGGAAATCCCGCTGTCTTTCCCTCTCCGACAAATATATTTGATAATTTTACTTGTACTGAATTATACACATTACCGTATAATTCAATTATATTTACTTACTTAAATTTTGACACTTTACTGTATTAGCGTCAAATGGTACAAGAAGATAATCGCAAGCTTCTCGTAATTCTTGAACAGCAACTGCCGGTGGACATCGAATTACGCCACCTTTATAATAATCAAGAATAGCTCTGAACACCATGGCAGATATACCATCTGCAACTTCATATTCACCACGTTCATTTGGTTGAGCATATTCAACACCAGAACTAAACATTCTACCTAACATTGTATTTGGATGTGCCGTAAAGAGTGCAGGATCAACAATAAATCTAAAACAAAAATTTATCTTGTAACTTAATATAATCATATTAATAGTAAAAAATGTATTGTATAATACTTACCTAGTATTATCAACAATAAGAGTAATGCGTTCATCACTAGCTTGTGGATTGTTTATACTATTAATAGATCCTGATGATGGTAAATTGTCTCTATTTTGACTTTGTTGATTTTTTCCAACACTAACTCCAGAGCAAAGTCTGAAAAAAGATATGTTCTAAGTGACTACTGAAGATCATTTAATATTAATACTTACATGAAACAAAAGAATTATGGGTAATAAACATATAAAGCAATGCAGAGTATTGAATAAATATATAAGTAACACTATTTTTTTCTTTTTTTACGTGGTGGAAACCTTTATAGGCACCCC